ATTATTTTCCTGTTCATTATTAATCAATAATTGTTCTAAAAATTGTTTGTTTGAAGGATTTTTATTTGCTGATGCACATTCACCTTCTGGAAGTACATTTAGAAGTTTAAAAGCTGTTCAGTATTTAGGAAGATCTTTTGTCGATTCTTATTGATTATTATTTCAATTATTGTTGCCTTGTCGATTATTATTATCTTTATTTGAATATCGATTGTTATTATAATTATTATTGCGATGATTATAATTATTGTGGAGAATCATGTTGAAATTGGATCATGCTGAATATCATGTGATCCACAAGGATCGGATACGATCCATTTGGTGATCTGCAAGGGTCAGATCATGTAAATTACGATCCATCCAGCGCACCCTTGAAATACACGTGATACACTATATAACCCCCATCCGAATAAAAAACAGCCAATAAGAATGCATAAATTTTTGATAAACAAATCGACACAAAAAAATGAAAAATCGAGAAATGTGAAAAATACAAGAAACAAATGTCTAAATCTGATTCGGAGTACTAACAAAAAATGTCGGGAGATAATTTTACATATAATCTTGTCCTCTACTCTAATCCATACCCTAACCTGAATGATAAATAGCCTTTAACATTAATTTTCCGTACTCATGTGAGCACGATTTTTTGTTGATGCAGCAAAGAATACATACAGATACCTAATTAGAAACAAGCATGAATTTTATTATTTCTCATGCACTAAACAAATGTAAACAAGACAATAAGGAAAAAAAGAAATTTTTAAGGAAAGCATTATAATCAAATGTTATCACATCCTTAAAAATTCTCAATAAAATGAAACAGTTAAAAAAAAATGAATCTCCATAAAAAAAATTAAAAAAAAACAAATCTTAATAAAAAAAAAATTAAAAAAAAATCAAATGATACCACGAATATTAACACCAGATCGCAGGATTTCTATCTTATAACCTTAACTCGCGTAACAAAAACTCAGACCTCTTTGCCATTTACTTCAATAATCGCAGTATGATTGTTGGATGTTAGCATCTTAAACACGTCTCATTGAGAGAATGTTGGCTGCAATTTTCGTTTCTGAGTCTGTGTGTTCATATCATGATCTGGTGCAATGGCAATTGCAGTTCCAGCTTCAATCACATTATTCGCTGTTTTTTTTATGAACACTGCCTTTCTGACTTTTTTTTGTTCGATATTCCTCTAGCGAAGCATTCACGGATTGTTGAATTTCCAGCATTTGCGAAATATGTTTTTCCATGGCAACTTCAAATGTAATTACGACATCGCTATTTTCTTCGGACGCAACAGCTTCAGATGTAATTACAACATCATTATTTTCTTCAGACGCATCTTGTGTAATATTGGGAGTAGCATAAATGCAATGCATTTTCCATCCAAACATTGCTTCATGTGGTGTACGGTTATGCGCTGTGTGAATAGTCGAATTATAAGATGCAACAAATGCATCAATGACATTGATCTAGTCTTTTTGTTGTAATTGACTGTGTTGGTTCCAAAGCAACTTAGTAAAACCACGGCCAATGGTCTGATTAAGACGTTCGATTTGGCCTTGTGATTGTGGATGATGAGGGCGACCATGCCTAATTGTAATATTAAGGACCCCGCAAATTTGGGAAAGAACTTGTGCGACAAACTCTTTACCGTTGTTGCTTTGAAGGATAACAGGCAGACCGAAAATCTTAAACACATCCTTAATAAGATGTGTTGCAACTGTAATGGCTTCTTTATTTTTCAGGGGGACCGCTACAAGAAATTTAGAAAAAATACAAACACACGTAAGTAACCACGCAAAATTATCATTCATTTCAGCGAAATCACAAAAATCAACAAGATTGATCTGAATGTGTTTCCATGGTGCTGTCGATATAATTGGTGTCATGTCAGTTTTTTCCTTAATAAAGGTATTGATAGTGCAAGCAGAGCATTTGTTTACATACACTTGTACTTCATCCTGCGTGATTCCAATATGTTGTTCTGAAATTGCAGAAAACGTCTTGTGGTAGTTGCGATGATTTGCTTGATCATGAAAATGTACTAATATTAGAATACACAGTCCTTCATCATATTTAGGGATTACGCGGCATTTTTCTGACTTAATTACGCCATCCTTTACAACAGTTGGAATGTAAAGAATTCCATTTTCATCTATTTCAAATTTCTTACAACGGCGGATAAAATTAGATTTCGAGCTGGGTATGGGATTTAGTTGGATATCTTCAGGTACAGTTTTTGACCGAAGATATTTGATGAAAGATTGGTATTCTTCTGCTGTCTCAGGAATCTTTGGAATTGCTGGCATACTAAAAAATTTCAACTGGGTGTTCGGGTGGTGGTGGTGATGATGTTCTGGTACAGGTGAATGTTCGGATGGGTGCTCTGGTCGTATTTCTCATCGCTGAATGTTCTTGCCGCTCTGGTCCTACTTTTCGCCACTGTTAACTAAATTAAAAATTTTAGTGTTATATGTATTGGAAGTACATCTATGTTAGTCTTCACGATTTAGTAATAACAAAAATAACCAATAGTATTGCGGGATGTATCTATGTTCATCCACCCGATTTAGTAATAACAAAAATAACCAATAGCATTGCATATTTTTGGAAATTTCTACTGTAATAAAGATTAAGATTAAAGAATAGTTTTAAGATTAGGGTTAGGGTTAGGATGGTGATCCAGGTTATATATAAAACTGTCTTCTCAACATTTTTTAGACATTTGTTTCTTGTATTTTTCACATTTTTCACATTTTTCATTTTTTTATATCGATTTGTTTATCAAAAATTTATGCATTCTTATTGGCTGTTTTTTATTCAGGTGGGGGTTACATAGTGAATCACGT